ACAGACATCCATGCATACATGCATACATACATACATACATACATACATACATACATACATACATTGCATACATACATGCATAGAGAATACTATATAATACTATGACACAAGCCCGGCCTCGACGGGAAAGAACCTGCGTCGCCCACGACATGACTTGCGGGTTTACAGGGCTGGGAATTAAGATTCACCCTTTAGATTACGGACTTCTGCCATCTTCTGCCCAGGGGTCTGCGGCTTTGTGCTTGTGTTTGTCTGACTGAGTCAGGCCTCTGCACGCTGATGTGCTGAATCTCCCCCGACTGCAGCCTCATGCAGTACTTCGGATGTGTCGGAGGCCCAACACAACACGCAAAGGTCTGCTAAGCCGGCTTTCGTCCACAAACTGCAAGCTCTACCCGAGGCTGCACGGGACCTGAGCCTCTGGCAAACGGCGCCCCTGAGAGAGATCGTTCGTGCAAGGCGGCAGCTGGGTTCGCTGTTGGAAGGCCTAGAAATGACCTCCGTCTTATCCCTATACGCTTGCAAGGCCCTCAAGGCACAAACACAAACAAACATCCCAAACCCCGCTGGCCAGCAAGCCCATGCCCCCGGGCATAGCGGCCTTGTTGTTGAGAGCATCTTTGGCTACTACCTGCCAACATGTCAGGCCACGATTCTCCCATGACGTTCACGACGACGACGATGATGATGATGGGGCGATGGCGGTGGTCATCACGAATGTGGTGTTGATGACGGGGATGGCGGTGATGGTGGTGAAGATGGTACTTACAAGCCAATCCAGCCAGCAGACCCAGGCATGCTCCCAGCCCCCGACACCTACCTTAACCTACCAAAACCTACTTTTTTGTAGGTTCCTATTATAAACCTTAATATATATATATATATATATATATATATGGAATCTATGGGGACCCTACAAAAAAGTAGGTTTTGGGTAGGTTGAGGTACATCTGACCCACCTGTGTCCTTGGCTTCAAGCTTTCCCCATTGCTGGCCTCCGGCCTTGGCGGTCACACCGACAACTCTACAAGAATAACCTTAAACCCTAAACCCTAAACCCTAAACCCTAAGATTATCATGGTATCCACATGTATCCCACAAATCAAAAACAGTTTAGCAACTATGACATGTATAGCAACTGCAATACTTGCCGGTTAAGCAGTATTTGTATCTCGTGCGACTCATGTTAGGTAGAAGAGGCAGCAGAGACGTGCTTGGGGGGCTAAACTTGTCGATGAAGCTCCGTTTGCACTTTCAGACTTTGCCTGAGGCAACCAGTGGATCTTCACTGCAAAGTTCGAGGCAGGGTTTAAGCTCTACTACGGGGCCTGAGCCATTAGAATTAAGATTTTTGCACTAGAATATATAGTGTAACGTTCGCTGCGGAAATAGTGTTGGAAAATATTCAGACTCATACATGAGCCGATCCACTCTAGACGCGACCTTGTGAAAACCAAGACGATGTGGTAGCCCGGTCCTTGCAATGCTCAACAGACGGCCTAATAATCTTTCATTTCAGTGCCCACGAGAAGCCAGACAAACGCGACAAGCCTGAGGAGGACTGAAGACTCACAACATTTCGCGGCCACTTTGTCGATGAACCTCACTATCTGGGGGATCGGCCTCGATAACTTCTCCTCGAATGACCTCATGGAGGTTGCTTCAAGACTTGTTCTGCACCTTAAGGACGAAATGAACCCTAAAAGGGTTTAAGGTTCATATACCATTTAGGGATTTATAGTATAAGGGTATAGGGCCGCTACTTTTAAGGGTCATTTGGTCCCTAAGGCTTGAGACTTCCTGAAGACCCAAGAGTGCTAAGAAGCTCCGGAAAACTGCATCCGGTGCCCCCTACCGCACTGAAATCCTCGGCAGTCGACGGATCCCAGTAGGGCGCTGCTGTGGTAAACGTCCATCTCGGCTCCTTGCACTATTCTCATGCATCCAACCTTCGGGGGTACACCGAGCATGTAGAGAAACCTATAGGGCTTAGATGCTTCAGGGAGCTGAAAGGAAAGTTGCAGTAAGGGTCTACCGTCTACGGCAGTTTAAGGCTCGGCATTGATGTGATTGATATTTGGGTATTACGTAGCCATCCTTCCTCTGCAAAGCCCGGAAGGCTACAACGAACGACGCGCGAGCGCTCAACGTCCGAGGAGCCACGCTGCATCTGAAGAAAACCAGCCCAAACACTGATCCCAAGAAGTTCGACGTAGAATCTGAATTGGAATTGGGTCTTGGCGTGGATATTGTGGTATCCTTGTAATCAGAAACCAAACAACTCTAGCGCTTGTACTTGTTTGGGTCCCCATACTATATTACATGACACCCAAACCCTTATACCACCAAAGCTAAGAAGCTGTCACGAAGCACCATTTTTGCATCTCGTCGGAACGCGTTGCATTAATCAAAGCCCTCCGGCTGGCCCAAGAATCTTCATTACTTGCTTCTGAGGCAAGCTATGGGGTGGCTCGAAACTGAAATGGTGGGGTGTCTTGAGGGATCTATTTCTGTCACGTTCACCGTGATCTTCATCTGAGTGGCTGTTGGAGATGGGGGCTCTGGGATTAGCGAGCAGCTCGTGGCCCCGCCAGAAAGCAATCGTTCTAAAGCCTTTTTGGATACATGCATACATGTTTATACATTACACTACATTACGTTATGTTGCATTAGTTGCCATAGGTTTACATGACAGCTCATAACACTACACTGCGTTGCATACTGTAGCAAGCACTCCCACCCACAAAGACATGATGTAGCCGATGGCCAAGACACAACTACACCCACACAAACGTATACAAATATGTCTTATACGTGATACATATAAGATGCATGCGTGTGTGCATATATATATATATAGTCTCATCCTCAGGTGTATGTGTGCATGTACATATATATATATACACACTACTCTACATACATATGCACATACTATCATACCCATGTGCATAAGCATAGACGCATACAGACCTGTACACGTGTCTACATCTGCTCTATACTCAGTTCTCGTATCTCTGCCATCAAACTCTTTGTGTAGACAATACTGTATGGACACTATGGGCAGTCCCTCCTATGGCCGCCGGGCATGCAGCAACTTCTTGTTGCTGCACTTTCCCTGGAATTCAGGCTCGGTTTTCGAGGCCTCATCAAATGCCATCACTTGAAGAACCAGGGGTCTTTGTACATGTCCTAGCAACTTCGGGACGTTCTGCTGCAGAAGGATTGCTCTCACACGTCGTGCAGCAGTGTCGTCTCAGTACGGATATATATATATATATATTTATTTATTTACCTACCTACCTACCTACCTACCTACCTACCTACCTACCTACCTACATCTACACATTTAAATATATATATATATATATATGCGCATACACATCTGTATAAATGAAAAATGTATCTATCTATTTATCTACCTACTGATGTATCTATCTATCTATCTATCTATCTGTCTATCTATCTACATATTATATATATATATATGTATATATTATACATATACGTCAGGGTGTAGACCCATCGAAGACCAGGACTCCGGCAGCATGCTTGGGCTCGGGCTGGCCAAGACGGAGCAGGTGGGTCAGGCGCTGGGGTCGGAACCTGGTGACTAGGCTTCAGGGCTTTAGGGGCGTTTTAGGCTTTTTGGTGCCTTTTAGGGGCTTTTTCTGTTTTTTTGGGGCCCATGTTCAAACTGTTCTTACGAGCGGGTATAGGGTTTGGGGTTCAGGGTTTATGGCCTAACTAGGTGGCTCTGGGCGCTGGAACCTGTAGTCGTGCATGCGTAACGAGAAACTTAGGTTTGGTGGCTGTGCACTCATGAGATGAAGCTTGCGCTGCACACGTTCGCGAAGTTACAAAGCCCATCAAGGACCTCACCTCGCTCTCGACGTGCGGTGTCGGTGAGTTCTTGCACCTGTGACAGGAGTAGCTCCCAACTATCGCAATGGACAGCTATGCCACGCAACGGCAGTGGCTGCATCCACGAAAGATCGCAACGCATCGTAGCCTCGGCCCAAAGATCCACGAGCTGCAACGCCTGAGAACCAGTGGAGTTCATGGCCGCTTGTGGGAAACTCTACATTGTTGACATCACGAACAAGAGGAAACCTCAAGGAAATGGTTACGGTTGACATTAACCATCTTCTGGTTGTCCTGTTCATGCTGGCGGCATGGAGGCAAAGAGCAACAACAGCTAAAGTAAACAAGAAGAAGAACCAAAACCCTCAGATCCCTCGTCTTTGAACACCCTGTGCCCAGAGTTCATAAAGCCTTGTAAATCAGTTTTGGCATCTTTATACATAGTATTGGGGAGCGGTATGGTATATGCCTTCTAAAGCATTATGGCATCTTCACCAACCTCCTGAAATACTTGGTCAGATCCAGGAAGACAAGTCTCCCTCTTTACGCCTTTGGGAACCCCTAAGACATCAAACTTGCAGCACCCTCGGAGACTCACCATCATATGCTACTCCTTATAGCAACCCCGAACAAAGCCCCTAAGCTTTACCGCACTGAGCTCAAAAGACTGCTTTCAGGGACTTTGAAGGGAAGGCCTCCCCGGAGCCGTAGAAGTCCTGCACACGGCTGTGGTAGATTGCAAGGTTTCAAGGCGTTTATGTCTTGCAGGTTTTTCTGGAGATTAGGGTTTGAGCGCTTTTAGGCTTTGTTGGTGTTGCTTCGCAAGTAGGGCCTATGTAGGGTGTACGTGCAAAAAAAGGGCCCCATCCGGTTCAAGCGGGTTTAACGCAGGATGCGCAGCTTGAAGAGGGCTGATTTCAAGCAGGGTTCACTGAAACCGCCAAAACCAGGTTTGGTATATCTTCATAGGTTTTGCACGGGTTCATAAATCAAGCGCACCGCCTCGTTTCAGTGTTTGCGGCAAGACAAAAGATGACAAAAGAAAAACAAAAATGATACACAAATGGTGCGTTTGATCCCCTCGCAGAATGCATCTCCATGATGTGGCACGATGACTTCTTGTTGTTTCGGCCGCGTGGGCCTTTTCGCTCTCCTCAGACTCTACTAGTAACAAACATTACGACTTAACTTAGTTTTGTCGCTGCTGTTTGTTGAAACTCGCGCTCTGTTTGTTCTTCCGTCGGTCAAAGGATGACAACACCAATACGTTTTCGCGGCTCGCACCACAAATATACGAATATGAAATGCAGGGAGTGCAACTGATTGAAGCATCACCCCAATGTCAATCCTATGTACTGTATACCTATATACACAACAAAACATGTATCACTATATATATAATATTTATATACATATACATATATATATATATATGTATGTATGTGTATATATATATATATATGGCCCGAAACACCCGAAGCCAAACTCCTCGGCAGACATCAGGCGCGATACATCAGGGGCTTGGTCGTTTCCATCCTGCGCAGCACAGAAAGTCGCTGTGCAAGTTCCTCATGCAGTCCTGCATGCATGGGCAATCATGAAAGGACGGAGCATGACAGCTACACCAATGATCATGACAAGAAAGACTGTTCTTGACAACAAGCTAGCGATACCAACGACAAGAAGCTTTACAGGATTGTTGACGAGGTTGGTTGGTCATGGTGATGATGGCCAATGATGATGATGCTGATGATGTCCGTTGCCATCATCGTCATCATAATGGCAGCCCATCATAACGTTCACTGTCATCATCCAAGTCCCGTTCGCTGTCATGACCAGCACAACAACCGTCACTGCAGGACCAAATCGCTGGTTGTGATATGACTAAGTTGTTTCGGCACCTTCTCCGTGAGGATTTCGTCTGAAAGCCGAAGGGCCACTCAGTATCCTAAACAACAAAACCCCAAAGGCCCTAAGCCCTAAGCTGTCCTTGGCCCTGAGGAGAACTGGCACGTTCTCGTCTTGCTCAAGCTCCCAATGCCCGCTGCCGCTCCTCCCATCTTCCATGAGTTTGAATCAGGTAGCAGTACAATATCCTACTATCAGACACGTAATGGGTATGAGCAATCACGAGTAAATTACGCAGATAGGATGATGCGCTTGCACAAGGCGCAATAAGGATACATGAAGCCAAACGCATTAGATAAGCCTTTAGTGACAATGTGCAATAACATGTGCTGGAAGTAAAGCAACGCATGCTACTAGCGACACCTCGTAGTTTCTGACATGTTTGAGAGAGATGGTATGTGAATAGTCATAGTTCTAGCTCAGACATAAAACAATATGTACACGGCTGGGCGCATTCGCACAATGTTCCTCGCACAGTTCATGGCCTAATAATTCTGCACGCATGTACATCTGTCTGTATGTATACAATATGCATGCATGGGTCTGCATGAGAACTAATATGTAATTTGTTCACCTGGTACATTGTATCACTGCACCTTGGCATGCAAAAACGGCTACCCAGGGACTTATATTATAACTGCATCACCTTAGAGCTCTTCCGAACTAGCACGCTGCATACCAAACCAAACACTCTATTCGACTATTCAGGGGTCTACAGTGTATGACTCCTAAACCCTAAACCCTAAACCCCCCAAACTCACACCGGCGGTGTAAACCCGACTGTACCTTCTGGGCGCGGACTGGCCCGCAACAACGTAGGCGTTGCGCTGAGCCTCCTCCATCCTCGGTTTAGGCTTATCGGCTTATCTACTTAGCATGTAAGGGTTGATGCAGTCGGATTTTTGGGTAGACTTTGGCTTTTTCCTTGAACTTTTTGGGGGTGGGGTTTGAGGATTAGGGTTTGAAGTTCAATTCAAGTTTAGACGCGCCGTTTGTCAGAGTGCGGTAGTCAGCAGATCTGCCGAAACCGAACTGCTCCTAGGCATCTAGAGTCTACAGCGAGGAAATCCCTATGCTCAGTTTGGCTACGCACACGTGACAAGTATGGATACTGTGATACTGGTTCTCAGACCGTGGGCACTGTAGGGGCACTAGGCACCGACTGGGCTCACCTCGAAGACCTGCCGGTGCTGAGCTCTGTGCTCATCGGGGGGATAGGCCTGAGCAGTCTCAACGCTTGCATGGATGTGCCAGACTTTGGCTGCTGAGGTGCTGGCACAGAAATGGATCTCGCAGAAACTGGGCCTGAGACTCGCGGGTTTTGGGGCCAAAAACATCCGACAAAACCACGGGCGGATTGGAGCAACTTCTGCGTTTTTTTGGGTGCGGGGCATCTCCAGGCAAAGCAGCAGGCCTTTGAGGCTCTCCAGGAATCGCTCCCGGCTCAGCCTCAGCAGCCCGCGGCGCGCGGTGCGCGCGCCGAAGCTGCGGGAGCTCCGATTTCCGACTGAGGTCTCGACTCTGACTGCGGATTGTGGTGCTCCTCCATGGTTAAGGTTTACAGGGTTTAGGGTTTAGGGCTTCAGGTCTAGAGTTTAGGGTTTAGGGTCTAGGGTTTAGTAGGGGTGAAGATCAGGGTACGGACTCTTAAGCCCGACCTCTTGAGACTGCGCCCAGCGCACGTAGCTGGCGACGGCATCAACCTTTCGAGCAGGTCAGCTGGGACAGCCATGATTGCCGTGGCTCCTCATGAAGGGGCACGCTTCAAGCGAGAACGCCAATGGCAGAAACCTGCTAGCCGCTAGCGCTCTGCGGATATCTTCGTCATGGCCCCCGACGGCAAAGCTCTGCCAGAAGGTCAAGAAGACGATGCAGTGAAGGCTGCAGAACTTCAGGGCCTTCCCATGTTGGACATGCTTCACTTTGCATCACTCTACGTCTCTAAGAAGATTACTGTTCAGCTGCAATAAAAATGTTTTTTGGATCTAAGGCAAGGAGGCTCAGATGCAGGCCGGATTCAACTTCAAGAACTTCTCCAGGTGAGGGCGCGTCTCACCTGGAGCTGCCCGGAGCCACCATTCCCACTCCCCCTACCTTCCCTGCGAGGCGTCGGCGCTGGAGGAGTACCAGGTGGTACATCGCACAGAGGCAGCTGACTCCCTTGAACAAGGGTGGCCTCGACATGCAGCGACTCTTTCGATTCTGAGCCTCATCACAAGTGTTCTGGCTGAATCTCCGCTATGGGCTTATAACATCACGCGAACTCGAGAATAGCCGAAACGAGCAAACACCCAACATCCTCACATCCAAAGTAATTTTCTGATCTGCCTTCCGAAACAAATTGGCTCCCGTCTGTCCCTTGCAGCAAAGCGCAATGCATCAGCTTGCAACCGGATAGGGTGTTTCGTACTGTTGCTTGATGCTCGCTTATGACATGCCGTAGTGCTGGGCTTTGTTGCCATATCTTGTAATCGCCTGTGATAGACTCTCATGTTCCGTCGCATGACTCATGTGTGTGTGCGAATTGTGAACTCCATTGTGCAATGCAACGTACTGCACTGCTATCAACTGTTTGGGATGGCAGCTTCAGAAACTAAAGCATCCTGATATACCCTGAGACCGGAGAATCCTAAAATGCAAAGCCCTAAACCATGAAACCCTGGACCAAAGCGATGAAGATCGAAAAACAAGCGCCAAACAGCGCATGGAGGTGGAGAAGGCCGCGATGTAATCGGGCCAAATCCGGATCCTTGCAACGCCGTTCCGGGATTATTTAAGTATTGTGGTTGCACGTCTGTGACAACGATGCTGTGCTGATGATGGTGATGATGCTACTACGTGCAATGTAAAGTAAAGGGAGTTCTAGTGATGGTGCGAGGGCGGCAAGCACGCCCGTCGGTTCCGTGCTTCGAACTTCGCGGCTTGCGCTCTCGCAACCTACTGTACCATGGCATGCATACCCTGGCTGTTTTGGCATGTAGATCGTGCTCCTGCCAGTTCCCCTTCAAATCGTTTGAAGTCGCTGGCAAGGGTTCGCAGTTCGGGTCCGCAGGGCTCTTTGCTAAGATCTGGCCAAAACCGAGATCGTGGTCCCCCCCCACAGTTTCGCATTCATGCAATAGTTTTTGCTATCATTACTTGTGTCACTGATATCTAGATCTTTGCTCTTGTTACTGATGACGACGATGCTGCTGATTCTTGACTGATTGTTGTTCAGAGCACTATTGCAGTCATGGGAGACAGTCGTCAGTAACACTATGACTTCTGACATTGTTCATCTTGCCAGTACCATGCTACGTACTCATCAGGATGATTATTCGACAGCTGCTCTCGCTGTAGTGGATTCTCACCATCATGAGGTGCCACAGTTGGTATAATTTTTTGTTGAGTTTACAGCGGAGTGGTGCAAGCTAGAGAGGTGCAGTGATGGAAAGGTATGCAAGTGCGTGACGGAAACAAAGCTTGGTACCCGAAAGCAGATGAAGGCACAGACGGTGGTAGTGACAGACAGAGGGAGATGTAGCTGGATAAACTAGTTGATGGATGGCTTGACCGACATGGATGTACACCCACAGAGAGGTAGACAAGCAGATTCAACAATATGCTGATTACATACACCCCGGAGTGAACACAGAAGTTGTCCTTGGGCATGCTCCGTTTCATCTCGTCACAGCCAGAAATACCCTGTGCAACCTTGCTTGAAAGGCAGAACCCCGTCAGTGGGCTGTCATCTCATCCGTAGGAGCATCGTTCTGATTCTTCTGAACGATGGCCGTTGTGAGGAGGGTCCTTCAGAGAGCGCCACACGATGGTTGTCATCAGGAAGAGACACGGCCTCGGCAGCGAGGCTTCGACTTGGCTCTGAGGAAGCGTCTTGTGGGTTCAGGTGCTATAGGTATAGTAGTATCGGGCGTCTTCATGAATTTCGGCTCTGGGGAGGATTCGGGTTCAACCGGGATGCTCAGGGTGTAGAGGGTTCAAGATTTGGGCTCTGGGATAGGGTGCGCGGGATTTCAGGTTGTCGCATTAAGACTGGCAGCGTCTGGCCCACGAGCTACGCATAGCCTTCAAATCCCAAACTCCGAAGCCTGGGACCCTCTACGCACCTAATATAGGGGCCTTCATAATTAGAATAGGGCTCTGGGGTTTTTTGTACTATAATTATAATAAGGAAACCCCACAATCCTATTCTAATCATTAAGGCCCCTACATTACTATTCCTATAGTAAATCGGGCTGCAGGGGCCCTGAATGGTTTACTGGCCGCAATAATTCGCACAGTCGTTTGATGACGCATATCGTACCAGAACTACACAGGCACTATTAGGTGATATTTTGGCGAATCCCTATATCTCCCCAAGCACAAGGAGCATCGCTGGGATGCCTACGTGACGAGGGAGTACTGCAGGATGCTGATCTGAGCTTGAAAGCTTTTGGGTTTAGGCTGTCCAGGGCCTGTTTTGGGCCAATTTAGGGCTTAGGGGCCAGGTTTCTGGTGCTTTTGAATGACTCACGAGGCTTGGGATTCTGGAAGCTTTTGGGCCTTCGATTCGGGCTGTTTCGTTGCTTGGCCGCTTACAGCTTCAGGCTGCAGGTCTCAATTGCGGGAATGATTTCGTGTCCTAAATTTCGCCTTCTGCCCTCGGCCGAAGCGGCCAAGGGGTCCTTCTTTACACTCCTCTTCATACCCTTTCCCTATACTGAACTTAGACCCCTAGCAAAAATTATAATTTTAGCTACTTCTTAGGGTTTATAGTAGCCAAAGATTAAAAATTATTTCTAAGTACCCCTAAGTTCCGGTGACGCCCCCCGCTTCCCGCCCCTTCGCCGCCGCCGCCCCTTCCCCCTCCCCCTGTACGTCTGGCATCCGAGAGGGATGATCCATCCGTCAAAACTGTGTCTGAAAGGCAAGGATCCGCAAGTCAGGTGTCCCCATTTTAAGTAGCATACTTTGCGTCTGGATGCTCCCAGCCTAATTGGCTTTGCCACATCGATGCCGGACCAAACTTCAAAGCCCGAACGCCGCACCACCAAGCATCTCGCCGAGTCCTTACCAGCATGATGCCGCAGATACCGCAGCTTCCAAAAGGTCCGCATGCCAGAATGACCAAGGCTCTGACTGCGTTGCTACGTCGAACAAATGTCGCAAAACTCCATCTTGATTTGGGATTTTCAGAACACCAATAAACGCCCAAAATGTACAGAAGTGCAAGGACGCTACAAGGACCCCAAAACAAGGTAACCCAAATTTGCAGAAACACCCATTTCGCAGAGGCCCCGACCGTAAGAATGCTTGGGGCTCCCGGCAATAACCTTAGAGACGAAGCTCGGCCCCGGTCGATACCTCGGCAAAGCTCAAGGGTGCTCAAAGTCTTTGTGAGTGGCCAACGGAAATAGAGTCTATAGAGAGAACTGCAGAGTGGGCGGCGGGGGGAGTGTGTAGGTCCTGTGGGTACTTAGAGTATAATAGGCCCAAAACATTATTCTAACTGGTAAGGCCGCTATATTAGATACCTTTCTTGTGTGCACGTTGGGTATGCTCTGAGTGTCCTCCGACTGCGGCGCGGCTGAGGAACCCGCGGAGGTACACAGAACCTCGGTGGGACAGCAAGCCCAGCCGGAGATACAGCAACCCTTCAGGCCCAAAAGCTTTAACATCGGGGCCTTAATAATTAGAATAGGGTTTTAGGGTATATTATACTATAACTATAATACGGAACCCCCAAAACAGTATTCGTAATTATTTAGGCCCGTATATTACACGAACTAAACACCTGAAGCGGTCGTCATGACGCATGATTGGCTTAGGCGGGAACTGCAGCAGACCCAGCTGATCCACAGGGGGCTGCTCTTGCTCCTGCAGGTCGGCGGCTCGCTTGCTTCGCATAGGTCTACTGTAACATACCGTGACTCACCGTGATTGAAGAACACGGCTGCGGCTCGAGAAGGGCTTGTCCGGTGATGTGTGGTTCAAGCTGCAAGTAGCTGCAGGAGCTGGTCCAGAAGACTGTTGGAGAGCTGCACCGGCCCGCCGAGGAAGGAGAGCAAGAGCCTCGCGCCCACATTTGTAGTCTCGCGATCAAGTTAAAGCCCTTCTTCTTAAACTGCCTTGCTCAAACTCGCCGGACATTCTGGTCGGATGCTCTGCTTCGAACCACTAACGGGGTCCACTGCTCTCCAAGGCCAAGACTGCACGAAGGAGCACACTGCCACAGCCTGTCAGCTTAGTGTCGATAACAAAGCAATGGGGTGGGTGGACACTGCAACAAAGCAACGGCCGACTCAAGCTCCAGTCAGTCAGCAAACACGCACTGCCTCCGCAATTTCGCGGATACAGTGCAGCAGCATCACGAAGCCGCTGTTGCTGCCCTGAGCTCGGTGCCAACTTGACGCGGCTGCTCTTGAGACGCTCACAACTTCGATCATTCCCGCACTTTGCTATTGCGTCTCCCCACTCTCCTCGAAGTGCGATTGCAAAGTCAGTACGGAGCCTCCAGCCAGAGGATTATCCAAGCATCGACAGCGAAGATTGGCACAACCTGGCCGAAACCCCTTTCGTGTTTACAGTAGGGTAAAGGGGGCATGCATGCATGCATGCATGCATGCATGCACGTCCCTCACATACTTGGAAAACTGGCACGCATGGATACATGCATGCCTACGTAGATATAATAATATAATGCCAACATGCGTGGGCACATACACACGGATACTATCTACAAACTGGTCGTAAGCAAGTGTGCGGTGTCATGTATGTGCAGATAGCTGCAGTGCCCTACGGTGACGGAGTTACCTGCACATACACAAGCACTCAATGTACAGATACGATACACGTGCGGCAGAACCCAGATAGGAGGCATCGTTTCACTTCCCGGTATGTTGCGATCCACATATGGAACTATCCTTTTTACATACCTATACGGTGCATCTACTTAACCAGTTTTGGGGTACATCTACCTATGCCTATTCGTCAACCTATCAGCTACCATATCTACTGGCTTGCAATGGTGCGCTCAAGAGTGGTGCTGCGTGCATGTGTCGATGCAAAAACATTAATATCATACTCAAAATTACACATACATGCACATATACATATACATACATGCATGTATACACACATATAGTATAACTAGATAACGTACACAAGCACCTCTGCATGTGTATGCATGCGTGCATGTACATACAAACATAATATAGATGTCATGGCTGCTGACCCCAAGGATTCGAAGAGCGAAGCGCTGCAAGCCGGAGGACGCCCGCTTGCAGTGCCTGCGCGGGGGTGGGGTGCTTTGGGGTCTGAGCTGAACCAGATCGGGTTTGGGCCCATAGCATCTCGGAGTGTGTCAGTGTAGGATATCGAGCAATCACCGGTTCGTAGAATTCATCTGGATCTGGGAAAGTCTCGGAATCAAACCAGTGTGAATGATGAAAGCACCATAAAGATACGGTCCTCGCCAACCCAACAACTGCCGAAGTCCTGCCTGTAGATCAGGATGCCCGACCGCACGACAGCATAACCTGCTCCCAGGCCGCCGAAGACCTGCGGCACGCAGAAGATCTGCAGTCTTTCATCGCTTCAAGGAGAGCCCCCTAAGCAGTCCTTGGGGTTTTGGGGGCTCGGGTTGTCTTTGACGGGCCCTTTTGCAACTCACATAGCCAGCTAGAAGTCCTGCACTAGGGTTTCGGATTCAGGGCTCAGGACTTTGTAAGGCAATGCTGGATAGCAGAATCATCGCCATGAACACCACCACCCCAAATCACAGTGAGTCTTGATAACCGCATGACGATGACTGTTATGTCACGTGGTTCGTCGGATTTGGTAATGTCATTGCAATGCCTCCCTTCTCATGACCACTCTAGAGCAGACTACGTAATTAAGTAGTCAGAGCCACACACAAAGGTCATTGCTGCCGGGCCAAATCCTCATCCCCATGATCCTCACCATCACCATCACCGTGATCACTGACAATATAAGTTCGACAGTTCGGATCTCATGCGTCGTCAGCATCATCATCATCCTCAGCTCTATTTCCCCAATCCAACGTTCATGCCTGCTCCGTGTGGTAGATCTGAAAGACCTGAACATGTAACATGTCATGCATCCCGACAATGACCCCACCCACTTTCTGCACCATGCAAAGGCAACCTTGCCGAGGCTGTACCCAGACTGTCTGGCAACTCGATACGCGCGCAGATGCCGTGCAAGCATTGCGGAGTGCTGTGGCCGCGCCTTCCTCTCCACCAGAAGCTTCAGCACGAAGAGTAGCAGCACCTACGCCGACTGGGAGATTTCAGCGCTCACATTACTTTAGGCGGTGGGCGTATGGCAGGCGAAGGCCCCATGAGGCTCCGGCGGCGCCCAGCACGCCGGCGATGACCTGAACCCAGCCGACACACCTGACGTTGTTCAAGACGTGAGCTCATTCAAGCAAGGCCCGACCCAGATTCTTCGAAAGCTGATTGACTTCATCATTAGAAGGCCAAGAAATCTGGTTCTGGGGTCCGTCATGCTATAATATAGAACGAAGTCTGTAGTGTGCAGCGCAGCCCGCCGCAAGCGCAGAAGAGGCTTTGCTTAGGACTGAGGACCTCCAAGCATCGGCAGGCCGAGGCACGTGTACCCACAGCAAACTTCTACACTACGAAGTATACTTGGTGACTTGGTGCCTTTCCCGCTGCACCCTATGTCCGAATGTATTTCACGCCTCCCAACTCATCGAAGTCATGTGCGACCCTTCTTGCGCCTTGCTTGCAGCAGCGTATACTCTCAAGAAGCAAGTCTACAAGATAATAGCCGCCCGAGCGACTCTCAAGCTTGTTAATGTTGCTGAATTCTGTCTCCTTGGCTTCTGGGCCACGAGTTCACCAGCTTCGGGCTGGGGGCCACGCGGTCTGGCGCTCTTCGATGTCGATCTTTCCTACCGGGGCGAAGGTCAGCATGTGTGACCAAGGATGCCGCGGTCTCCAGCATGAGAAAGCTCAAAGGCCCTCTCCATCCCCGGCCTCTTCGGAGCCTTCGCCTTCGACCAAGCAGTACCAGTTGAAGGGCCCAACCTGCCGCCCCAAAACCACAGCACACGAGACCATCCACGACCGACAAGACGAGACAGTGTCGTCTTGCAGTCCTACCTACGGGTCCAAGTGAACACAACATGGCGTAAAGGGAGCAAATATGCCGCCTTGACATGACAACAGTGCTGTACATAGGTGTGGAGCAAACCTGTAACAAGGCCCCATGACCGTGCTTTCATTTCCCAAGCATCGTCGTACCGCAGCAAAAACAGAAAAATGTAGCACTTCAAGGACATGACGGCATATGCCACAGAGGCCAAACGTATGGACACCCCCCTCAGAATGGAAGCTGGATGACACGAGGGGCCTTGATTGCACACCAGGGCACTCTGAAGCGCGGCCTGTGCTCTGATGCAAGGAAGCCGGGGCGATCATTCTGTTGACCCTACCAGGCGCTACCATACCGCAGGGATTGAATCCCTTAAGACTTTAAGACCAACGGCTCAGCTGCTACAATCGATGAACTTCCTGTCACTGGGATCCAGTGACAGACGCTCGACTGCAACTGGGCGCAAGGCGAGTCCATATCTCCATTGCACCGACGCTGGCGCAGGCCACTACACGGACTTCCCGGGTGGCTCTTACTTTACTCCACAGCCTATGTCGAAGTATGAGAAAAGGCTTGAATGAACCCGTCACCGAATAAGGCTGGCATGGCCGGCACTCCCATCTCTGTCTCATGGTAGGCTTGCAAGCTGCATCTGTGCTCAAGCAATGCTGGCCGTTCGACGACTCTAACGTCCGTGACTGGGTTGCCTTGATTTCAGCCTCCAGCACTTGACCGAGCCAAGAAAAGCAGGCATGACATCAATACCTCACAGCCCCTACTTTAACCCCTCCATCCACCGAAGTCTTGGGAAGCGCTTCGCAAAGTCAGGGCGCAGGGACTTCACCATCAGGTGATTTTCATGGAAGCGGGGAGAAACCCAGGGTGTTTAGAGATGAGTTGTAGATGATGATAAAGGGGCCCAATGCCCCTACATGATATTTACGAAACACTCCTAAAGACCCGGTGGAACCCTACAAACCTTCTGAACACTCCTATGCTATCCACAAACAAAAAACTACACCAGCCCCGAAGAAAACCTCAACCCACCCTACACCCTAAACCCCAAATCCTCAACCCTAAACCCTAAACCCTAAATCCTAAACCCTAAACCCTAAACCCTAAACCCTAAATCCTAAACCCTAAACCCTAAACCCTAAAGACTCTCAAATCCCAGGCTCCTCGAGGCCGGGATGGGCTGTCACCTCGCGGACGCTGCTTAGCCCCAGCTCTCCATGGGAAGAGAACATAGGGGTGAAGGTTGAAGGGTTTAGGGTTTTGGGGTCGAGGGATTAGGGGCTTGGGAAAAAATCGTATACAACATGATCGGTACCCAAAACATCGCAGAACAGCCATGACTGTGGCAAAGATCTTAAAGCTGCGCAACCAAACCTACCGTCAATAAAGCATAAGTATACCTGCTCACCGTCTGCCCTAACCCGATATTCCTCAGCTCTGACCTAATTTTCCCAAAGCATCTGCACGAAGCCATACTCCATTAAAGTAGGGTTGTCTGGAGCGCTCATTACTGTCATTGTTTCTTGCATTCCCGTACCCCCAGTACTAAGATGCCGGATTGGGATCCGCTGTGCTGGTGCTTCTGTAAGCCAGTGCGCTATGCGGAAACCTGGTTGGCATGAGCAGGGCACGACACTTAAGTCCCACAACTCCGGTCCGTTCAAGGACGGTGTGGGCTCGGGATTTTGGGATGTGCATCATGCATAAGGATTTGTAGGACTTATTTCGATCGAAGTGTCTCAGCTTTATGCGGCGTTATGATGGGTCCGAAAATATATGGCGCTCATAAGGGTTCTATGAAGGGCTGGCTTGTGTTAAGGGCATGAGTGTTATAAGGATCTTATTGCGATTTGCCTGGAGTTTCATTCGGGGTTGCGTTTCAGGCCTGAATTCGATCACAATATCATTATTCATATACTTATTATCATTCTGAGTAGTGTATTTCTTATTACGTTCAAAGAAGGAACCCTAAACCCTAAACCCTAAAACCCTAAACTCCCCAAAGATCTTCGGGGGCTCTGCTGGCGGCCTCAAGGGACTGGCCCGAGTCCCAGAGCTCCGCAGTCACCTCGAGCCCTGGGCATCCGCTGCCGGACTTGGGGCCCGAATGATGAGAAGAGTGGCTTGGGGTAAGTTGTAATATGATGATGCTGATATATATATATATATAAAAATATATATATATATACATACATACATATACATACATGTCTATACAGTATACATATGTACAGTGTATAGGTATGCTTTTGCGTGTACATTGGACATGTACCTAACCTTCTTTTACGGGGGTATGACAGCTTCGGCTTCCAGAGGTTCTCTCCACTTGGGTCAGGCTTGGGGCGTTGGCCTCCACAGCTCAGGCGGGCTGTTTCTTGACTTACACCACATGGCCTGCATTGAAGTTAAAATAGGGTTTGGGGGGCTCCTTATTCCAATTATAGTATAAGATACCCCAAGCCCTATTCTAATTATTAAGGCCCCTATATTATCCAGATCCGTGCTGCAGAAGCAACCTCGGGTTCTGAGCCCCCGGCGATCGAGCTCCGCAGGCATCAGGACAGTATAGTTCTGCAAGCGGTTCGGGTGGTTCGGT